GAGCCTTTTGGCAAGTTGGTGAACCCACTGCCCCAGGATGTGTTTGAAGCTGAGTTGTATGGCTTCATGGAGAATAGTGGTTCATGATAAGGACTGCAGAGGACACTCAAGGACAGATTTCAGGAGTCTCTCAATCCCAGAAATGTCAATGAAATATCTATTTGCAATGGGTTTTTCTGAGAAGAGGTTCCATTGATCCTATTATATTATGGAGATCTATAATCCCAAAGACATAGGATAGATAAAATGCTCAAGCTGATCATTTTGGAGGGATTCAAGGTATTATGGCAGAAAGAGGTTTTCTCCTCTTCCCCTCATCCAGCCCTTTGGAAAAGAAAAATGATGACAATAGGACAGGAAAAAGACAATTTACAAGAACATGGAAATGCAAGATTGTTTAACTGACATCTGACTCAGAGCTTCCCATGTGAACCCAAGTATCTGGTTTTCAGTTCTAAAGAGATCACATTTCCTAGATTGAAAACAAAAAACAAATCAAGGTTTCTCTAACGTATTCTAGAAAACCATTTATTTTCAATGTTACATAGTAGACAGTTATTAGGCTTGCCTAAGGAACCCAAATTAATCCAGCGTTACTCAAAATGTTGTTGGCAAGTATAATAAAAATAAGAAGTAAACTTGTCAGTGAGGTGATGCTACATTAAAACACAAGTCTGCTGCTCTTGTTTAGGTAGAACGGCCCCAGAATTGGCAACTAATGATAACATGTGGGAATAAATAGAACAAGCGTAGAAAATAGACATCAGAGTTTACCTTCCCCATCAAGCAATTTGGATTATGGGTTTAGGCATAAATCACAATAAATATGTTAAGAAATCTCTTGTATGACATATGTTCACAATATTTGTGTTGTATTTTAATCCATATACTTGGCTAATAAAAATGCTAGAATGCTGTAGTATGGATGTGAAATGAAGGCTAAAATGACTTGAGGGTTTTCTTACACATTTTACTTATGAGAATTATGCATTTTATTAATGACTTATAAAAAAAATAGTTTCCACAATCCTGAAACCCAAATTGTTAACTGCGAAGCTGCAATTTGGTTTTCAAATGGCTGATAGACACAAAAGAGAGTCTGATTAAAACAGTGAAGGAGGAAGCATAAACATGGGATACTACATGCTTTTGCTTAAGTAATGCTATCTCAGTTCCAGGAAGCAATGCTTTAGATACATGAAGCAAATTATATATGTGTGGGCTAGACACACAGACATTTTAATTTAATCTTAGAACACCTAAAATTAGAAATTGTCCCTATCCCTGCTTCTGGAAAGCAGGCAGATTTTTCTTGAAATAGGAATCGCACTTAAAATAGGTAGAAGACTTCTAAGTGTGCTCTGGATACATAAATCCACCATAAACCTCAGTGATAAAATTAGTCATTCAAATAAGCCAAATGAAACCCGCCACCCCTTTATGACAATGAAACGATGCCTCCTGAATAAAGACTATTTTCAGAACTCAGGAGGCAGCTCCATAGAGTTATTGCTTCCACATACAAAATGAGAAATCAAAATGAGAAATCTGAACAGCTCAGCACATAAAGTTTGATAACTGTTGGCTCAAATGGCTTTTTAAAAGTTTCTAAGAAACTTCAAGATCTATACTTATCTGCCAAGGATAAGTTTTCTCTTATGCAGTCACTAAAAAGTTTATAGGAATTTCTTGTATTTAAGAAGCCAAAACACCACATAAAAAAAACATGTAGGAAACATTAAGGGGAAGAAAACAAAACTTACTTTCTCTTAAAGCTGCTTCTTCCTGTAATTTAAACGGTCTGAAAGGAGACAATCTGATGGGGTTTTTTCTTCCAACACATTCATAGGTCAACTCCAAAAGGAACAGAAGGAGCCACCAGAGCTATCTGAGGGTCCCTCCTAACTGCAGCTTTTCCAGCTTTGTAGAAGAAAATGGGAGGGTTAAATGGTGACGTGCACAGAGCTGACTCCTACTTGGTTGAAAAAGCACTCCTTGTCAAGTTTTACTTAAAATTACGAGAAGTAAGTTCTGTCCAGGACATCCTTAAAGGGCAATCCTGGATTTGTATGTGAAGTAGGATCTGGATAAGCTCCAAAAAGTTTAAAATACAAACCGCACATACACACTCAAGAAATTCTCACTGCCTAGGCTAAATTAAGGGCACATTCAAATTTTAAAAATTTCTAAGCGGATAATGTATTTTCTGTTTCTTTGATTAATCCATTTTGTTGGTTCTGTTTCCTGGTGACTAACAGAAACCTTGTTTTACACAAAAGAAATGCCTGAACCACAGAGCTTTCCTAGTCTCACCTGCAGTTGGTAACTTGAGATGAGCCTTTGGTTATGGCCTCTATCACTGTCTTCTTAGGAAATCTGGGAACTCCAAGCCTTGAATTTGATAGAGTAACTCAAGGTTGTTACCTGCTTCCTGCAACCTGCAGTGTGGACTGAGCTTTCCCAGTTTCTGCCTATGTCCCTATGAGCTGGCAGCGATTGTTATGTCATGTCCTTTTAAGCACAGGCTCATTTGGCTTTTTGAAATCTTCAATTCAAAACACGAAAGTGGCAAGAAATTTCAAGAACTGAATTTAAAAAAATGTTTAAATGTTGAAGTAATCCATAACAAGAACTCTTAGTGGGTCAAATTGACTCACAAATCAAGTGGCATTTGCTCCTATAATCTCGATTGGAGGCCATTTCTTAAATGTGTAAGGTGGGATAAGAAATATTTTGCCTTCGTTACATTAATTCCCAGACCAAACTTAAACTGTCCTTGTTCTAAGTGCTAAAGGAATGGTTTTTGTACATACCTGAGTATTTCCTGAGGTCAAACTCAGGTATGTACAAAAACAAAACAAAACTGAAATACAACATTAAAAACCCCCAAAAAACATGAGCTAGGAAAAGGACACAAGAGCATTAAGTTAGTAATAAATTGTAATCCTCATAATAATACTAACCAGGCTTTATTTTTCTCCTTTCATAAATGATGAAGTCGAGTCCAGGATATACAAAATGCCTAAGTCCCCATCTATGATAGTTATGGGGCCATTACCCTCTTTGTTTACACTATGCTTTCTGAGAGGGTAATTTACATTCACTGATTCCACTTCTGATCTTCCTGTTACTCCTCAAGATATTGCAATCTATCTTCACAAAAAAAAAAAGAAAAAAGAAAAGAAAAAATGCTTCATTAAGCTCATAAAAGATATTAACAACTCCAAAGAGCACTGTTTTTCATCTCGTCAGAAATTTCTCATCTCTGGCTATGTTTATTTATTTTTGAAAATCTCTTCTCTTGATTTACTAAGTTATATTGTTTTTTTTTTTATTTCATCCTAGCTCTTACTCAGGCTCCTCTCCCTTTTCCCCTAATCATTGCCCAGAGCTTCATGCGCAGAATGCTTCTTTGTACACCCTCTATGGGTTGTAACAACAACAAACAATTACGTATTATGACTCCCAAACTGTTATTACCCTTTGTTCTCAACTGTTACCACTCTCAAAGATTCTAGGCCTGTATCCTGTTGTCTATTGGACATCTTTGTTTAGAGATTCCCAGGCATCTCAAACTCGGTCCCAGATAAACCTCTTCATCTTCTCCCCACTTGTAACCTGTTAGTCTGATGCTGAAATCTAGCTCAATGAAAAGGTTTACTATGGTGAAATGGTTCATGAATGGCAAAGTTTCAAGGAATGAAGGACACTGAGGACTATGAAACTTTTTATATAAAAAAAAATAGATTAAACTACGTTTAAAATGTTCAGAATAACAGTTAAAAATATAAATACATATAATATATGCATTAATTAAACTAGTAATAAAAATAATAGAAGCTTTAAAGTACCATAATATTTAATAGAAACAGGCAATTTTATTTTAAATAAGGTTTTTCAATTTCCCCATGAAGATCATAGTAAACATTTAACAATTTAATTAACAAATTAATTTTTACATAAAAAATCAGCCATATAATTTATTTACAAAAACAAAGCTGTTCTTATTTACTATGAAAAAATAAGAACTATTTTGATAAATGAAAAATATTTAATGCCTACAAAATAAGAATGATTTTTTTATTTGCTTCATTATCTTTTTCATTTTTATTTTCACAAATTAAGATTTTTATTTTCAGAAACTACTCTCTGGTTTGACAAAAACAAAGATTACTTTGGTATTTGCTAAAACAAATGATAAAGTCCTTAAGCAAAGATTGAATAAAAGAATATGTTGTGTGTTCAATATTTTGAAAGCTGAATAAGCACATAAAACTAATTGGGGTTCATGGTGAGATGATTTTCATTTTTCTGAAAATATATTAATAAAAAATGCCAATGGAAAAACATTTTAAAATTTACATTACATTCCTATCAACTTTAATAATAATAATTAATCTGTAAATATTTAATTCCTTTCAATCAGTTGCTATTACTTTATCTAGAATTAGAGTAGAGGTAGGTAGACTGATCTTTGTATTCAAACATTTTAAAACATATAATTTTAAATGCCATACATGGAATTATATACAACAGTACTTTTTAATATTTGAGATTTAATTTACTACTATATTCAAAATAAATTCCTTTTGATACATAATAAATTATTGCTTAGATTGAAATGATTACTCCAAGGAACTATTTTAGTTTTAATTAGCTTGGTTAATTTAATTAGTTTTAATTACTAATAATCTTTAGAAAAACAAGAATACCTACTTTTTTATAAGGGTTTTTATTTTTATTTTTTAAAAAGTTTGCAATGATGTAAATGCACTTAGAAATCTCTCCACAACAAAGTATTAGTTTCTAGAGTGACTACTGATTAAATAAATGACATAGAAAAAATATTTGCATAATACTTTTAGTTATTCCATTGGTAACTTATGACATACCTATTAGCAGCAAATTTTATTCTTTCTTACTCTTGTTAGCATCTTGTTTTAGAATAGAACACAAGAACACATGGGTCACTCGGATGTCCTTAAGCTGTAAAAGCATCCCTAAAGATTTCTCCTGTGGGGAAGATGAAGAACCTCTATCCGACAGAAATAAGAGCAAGGGCTCAGCAATAAAATAATATTTTGCAAATTTCTGTTAGTTTTCTAGCATTTTATATTGACTTTAAAATAAAATACACAATTTTCACTTGTGAAAGCAGAGGGATATTTTTCTCTTTTAAAAAACATGACCACATTTTAAATTTCTGCCTATAATGTAAAAATATGATGTCACTCGAACTATAGCAACACAACAAAATGAAACCTTTCCTAGAAATGAAAGACATCAGAAAATTTATTCTTCATTCAGTACATGGAAAGAAAACAAATGTATAATTTTTAGAATTATAATGTTTAAAGAAATCTTCTATGGAGAACTCAATTTACAAAAATTCACATATTTATAAAATTTACAATGAATACAACACTACTGTTTCAACTAAATTGTGGGCTAATGGGAGGCTGGAGATTGTGAAATAAACATTATTTATAACTCAGCAATAACTTTGGGGGGAAATGTTTACTACATGGCAAAAGTAAATTAAGTTCATTACTCTTCTGTCATAGATGATTTCCTGGATTTGAGAACAAGGTCTTTAATGGATGAAGAAAGTTCTTGAAGCTCTTTACGAGTAGTACTGGTGCTATCTTCTTCTTCATTGTCTAATTCATCACTCAAGGAATCCTCTTCCTGCCCAGTCTTCTTATTCTGATGAACTAAATGCTTTACAACCAGTCCTTGATACTTTACCAAAAGTGTATGCTGGTCCTGTGAAAAGAGAGAGAAGAAAAGCTAACAAACATGATTTAATTTTTGTGGAACAAAGTAGGATTTGTTCAACCAATACACACTGAAGGTCTTCATCTTTACAAATCACTGGCCATGTAAATAGAAAGCTGAATTTCAAGGTCCTTGCTCTCAAGGAGTTTACATTTTAGGAGACAAAAAACACGAATGCAGGTTATTTTAATAGTTAATTTGGCTAGGTTCTATCAATATAATCGAAGTGATATGGAAGTTCAAAGAAGCCAAAATTACTTTTAGTTGAGTTTCTTAGAAGAATTTATGCAGAATTTATGAAGAATTTTAAGAGGCCCATGAAGGACAGGTTAAATCTGAATAAGCTGAGATGAAAGACTGAACATTATTATAACTTTTCCAAAAGCTTAATTTTCAAATTCAAAATATTCTTTGCCATGGATCAGATAGGATCCTAAAAGAGTATCCTTAAAATCAATCTCCTAATTCATTGTTTGCATTTGTGGAAACAGGAAGATGAATATGTCTTGGTGTCACAATGATTCACATCTATCCATTAAGAATATTTGCAATCTAAAAGTTTTAAAAGTTCCAAGAGCATTGAAAATGTAATACCTCTGGAATTTTACTCTTAAGAAGAGTGATGATCTGTGGGACACATCTTCCAGGTGCATGGAGCATGCTGTGGGTTGAGGACTGAAACAACAGGACTGATGTGAGGTGCAGGATAAGAGCAGGGTCTTCTGTGATTTTTAGCTGTTCAGCCAGTGCTTGTCGATGCTGGAACAGAATCTGTCTAAACAAAAATAAAAACACACAAATTCTCACTAATTTCTGTTCTTCCCTTCTCTATTCATTTTTAACTTTTCTAGTTTAATTATCTAGTTAAATAAATATTTGAAGGGACCTTTTTAAATATGGGATTCAGATACTTATAACTAAATGGCATGAATAAACTAATGTGTTAGAAATAGAAAAAAAACAATATAGCTAGGATATTCAAAGTATGATTTTGAGTTGCAGAGGAACAAACAAAAGAACACTGATTTAAATAGGTTTCCTGTAAAGAAAGTCACAAACCTAATAAAAAGTTGCCAGGCTTGATGAACTATGGGATTAGACAACTCTGCTACCTTATCAAGATGAGTCAGAGGAACACTGAATTGCTTCACGGTGTACAACAATTTATACACAACAGTTCTCAATATAAGACTCAGATAGTCAAATTCCAATTTCAGATATAATACATCTAAGAATCATATATAATAAAAGCCTAATACGCTAAGTGTCTGGTCATCTGGTGACCGATCAACTGTTCAACCAATCAAAGTGTAATATGCTAATGTATGCTAAGACCACTCAACCACTCACTATGATGTGCACTGACCACCAAGGGGCAGACAGTCAACCTGTCAACCAGTCGCTATGACATGCACTGACCATCAGGGGGCAGATGCTCCCACCAGTAAGTTAGCTTGCTGCTGGGGTTTGGCTGATTGGAACTGAGAAAGATGGCTGGACATGCTCTGGAGCCCTTCCTTGGTCTCTCCCCGGCTGGCCAACCTCCCATGTCCCTCCCGGGCCAGCCGGCTCCAATCAGCCCTGATCAAGACTGGGTGAGGCGGGGCAGGACATGCCCTGGAGCCCTCCTGCAGTCCCTCCCCAGCCCCGATGGTGCACTGATGGGGTCCCTCAGGCTGGCCTGAACCTTCTTGCAATCCCGGACCCCTTGGGGAATGTCGGAGAGCCAGTTTTGGCCTGATCCCGCAGGCCACTTCCCTTGGAAGGCTGTCAAATGTAGGACTCATGGCTGGCAAACATTACGGTGGCTGTGCGAGACTCTCCTGATCGGGACTGACTGGGCACGAGCCCACAGCAGGCGCAGTGGGGCTGGCATGAGTGAGAGCAGCAGGTGGGAGCTGCAGGTGGTGTTGGACTGCAGATTTAGGCCCGATCCCCACAGGCCACCCAGAGGAACCCCATCCGTGTACAAATTTGTGCACCAGGCCTCTAGTTTATTAATAAGAGATTAATTCAGTGTTACCTTTCCCTTTTTTTGTCTCCCCTTTTCACCATAATATCACAAGTTTCTGCTGCAGAATCCAGACAAGAAAGAAAGTCTTCTATGCTCTGAAAAGGTGTTAAATACCACAATTAACGTTTATATAAGTTACCCAAAGACAATACAGCCATTTAATACTGTTTTATAATTTTATACCCTAAATGCAATTTAAAAAAAGGTTATTTTGTCATTAAATGTGAAATTGTGATTTAGCACTTTAAAGAGGATAAATCACCTCTAGCTTGGTCTCCCCCTAAAAAGATACCTGAATGCAAAATACTAGTTTCAGACTTAATTCATAATTATTATTATTTTTTAAAATTTACTCAAATATCACAAATGCTAGCTCCAATATATATCTAAATAAAATCAAACTTTACTTACCTTTTCATTCAAGGAGCTATGGAGTTTTGTGAGGACTACTTTAGTTTCTTCTGTTAATTTACTCAAAATTTTTTTTCTTACCTATGGGGGAAAAATTATTTCAGCATTGTGTTTTTAACAGGTGGTAGATAGAAGATCAAACAAAATGAAAAAACAAACACATTTATTACTATAACAATGTTAAAAGGAATTTATCTTTGTTCTTGAATTTTATAGCTCAAACTAGGGACAATAATATGCTAAAAATATTCTCAAGTCAGAGAGCTAGCCAATAGTGGTCAGCCAAAGAGAACAGCTACAGCCTTATTCCTCCCATGTGTCAGCAGGATAAGAGAAATGAGAGAAAGACAGAGAGAAATTTGGCGTAGGGGGAGTGAGTGAGTACATACACTCTCTTTAGAGACTCTAATATTCTCTTCAGAATCAGTGTAAATATTGAAATAAGTGGTGTCCCTAAATGAAAATGACTGCAAATTTATGGAATCTAATATGAACATTATTAAGAAACTTTTAACTCAGCAGGAAAAAGGGATGTGACATAACAATAACTAGGAAAAAATAAAACGCTGGTTCCCAAGTAATTAAGCAGAATTACTTTTAATAGACTGGTTACATTGCTAATCCTGAACTGTACTGAACTTGACCTAAAACCTCACCGATTTTTTTTTCTAAAACTTTTTCCTGTATTTTATTATCTTTTAAAATTATTTAAGATATGAGAAAATAAAATATGCTCAGATCTGAAAACAAAACACATCAAAAGTGGCAAGAAAATCACTAACATACTTCACTTGTAATGGCTGCAGGATCATCAACTGCCATCATTAAATCCGAAGCTAAGAAGTTGAAAATGAGATTGGTGACATTAGTACAGACTGTCTTTAGCAAGTGCCTGGTAAGGGCAGTCTGGGTATCATCTGAAAAACAAAGGTGTTTTATTAAAAATGAATGTACAAGAAAAATTATGAGAATCAATGAGTGAAAAAATAGCAGTAAGTATACCTGTAAAGAACTTCATCCCTTTTTCAAATAATCGAATATTATTGTATAGGTTTGAAACCTCTTCTTGCAAGTCCTTGATTGTGCGCTTTCTGCCAGTTCCAGAGGCAGTTGTTGAAGACATGAATACTGAACGTACCACCTCAAGGTAAATTTTATTAAGAGGTCTGTGAATTTAAGATAAATATATTTAGTTTCTTAAAAACGTACTGGGTTTACATGGATACAAAATTTTGATTCTATGAAAATAAGGTTTATGAAAATATCTCTATTTTTTTTAAACAAATAAGATTAATTTGGAGAATAGTTCATAAGAATCTGTCCCAGAAATTATAACTTAAATGGTTTGTTTTTCTCAGTTTTTAAGTGCTCAAAGTTATTGTGTTAAGGACAATAAAAACTACAAAAGCTTCAATTCAAATTAAATTCAGAGCAGCTTCTCAAATTTAATTTGGAGAATACTAGACTCTAAATCTGTTCCTCATCCTTAGAGATAATTCCTTAAAGTCCCCAATTTGTTAGTGTACTAAAAAAAACTTTTGATGTTCAATTCAGAAAATATTATTTAAAGAATGGGAAATAATTAGTAACTATTTCAGCTTTTTAAATAAAAATAAGATTATGTAATAAATTCCTGAACAAAAAAATTTTTACAAAAGCTGAATTTCTAAGTACAAAAAGTTAGATGCACTGGGCTCCTGGATTGTATTTATATAACCTTACACATTGGGACTACCAATCTGAGAAAAGATCACATTAGTTATTAATGGTCAAGTAGACCTCAATTTCTTTGACTTCTATAACAATATAAATTTAGCCTGGTTCATTTTAAGTTAGTGTGTTCAAATTTATTCTTTTTAAAAAATATTGTTTTTATTGATTTTAGAGAGAGGGAAGGAGAAAGAGGGAGGGAGACATCAATATGAGAGAGAAACATTGGTTGTTTGAACCATTGACCCTTCACAGCATGGGATAATGATCAACCAACAGAGCCACACCAGCCAGGGCTAAATTTATTCTCTTTGAAGGCAGTTTGTTCCTTTATTTTCTCCATTATAGTGCACTGTGTACTTCCTGTCAAATCTAGATAGAAAATGGTCCTTTGTTCCTTTTAGATGTTATCTTTCATGCCATGGAAGAGACCAATGATTACTGCTGGTGGTTTCCACCCAAACAGTACTGTAAGATCACTGCACAAGGACACCTCCACAATCCTGTCTTTTATTTCCCACTGCCTTGCCCAAAGCATTTAAATGTTTATTGAATTGCCTCTGCAGGCAAAGTCTGTAATTTGGTGACTAGATTATATTCTAAGCTTTGGGGGGGGGGGGGAAACACCTAAAATATATGTTTTCTATCATATTGGTAAAAATTTAATTTAATAACTCAATTTCTATCATCAAACAGAAAAAATGTGTTTTATACTTGCTTTATTAAGTACTCAGCTAGTTCAGAAAGAAACTCCTCAGGCGCATCTTGTATGCGTTTTCTTAAAAAATCTTCAATCTCATCTTGGAACATAAAAGTGACCTCTGGCTTCTTCTTTCCTATACAGAAATGAGCAATAAGGAAAAGAATAATAATAAAACAAACAAATGAGCAACATAAAGGAAATTACTTTCATTAACATATTTAATAAGGTGGTAATTAATTCATTGCCCACTACAGACTCTGATATTTTTTTGTCACCAATTGCCAATGTTGAATACAATAACTTACAAAAGTAACTTTAAAAATATAGTGGTATTTCTTTTGAATTATTTTACTAACTTCATTTAATGACTGTTTTCTACAAGTCAGTCAGAAAACAATAAAGATAATTTTTCCTTGACCTAAAAAATAGTTAGAAATCCAGTCAATAAATGGATGGAAATCTTTTAGAAAAAGATAAATTCTCTTTGTTGAACAATGGATACTGAACAAAATTTCCTTCTTTATAAAAATGAATATTTACTAAAAGTCAAATCATCTTCATAATTTACCTAAGATTTAAAACTTCAGAAAAAAACTCTTTATAATCACGTGAACCACAACTGAAGTTGAATCAAGCTGAAAATTGTCTTTTTTTTTTTCCAAAGGCATAGATTAAAAAGAAATCTCATAACTTTACTCCCATAATTTATTTTTTATCTCAAAAATAATTATCTGCCAAGGAAAATTTGTATGTAGCTACTGTAATGAAAATGATTGTTAATTGTGGAAATGTCATGCTTATTCATTTAATTGGAAAGTATAGGCTGTAGACAAAGAAAGCTAATAATATTTCCCTTACTAATTAAAGAAAGTATAAAAGTGACTACTTTCAGCTAAATTAGATACTGATTCTAAAAATAAAATCTTAGCAAAAAATAAAATAGCTCAAAAATCAATTTTTACTATGCATCAAGATATAAGTAGTTGAGATCACAACTTTAAAATAGATGAGTACTATCCTTTCTTTCTAAGATCTGCTATTTGTTTTTTCACACCAAAAAGCGTCTAATTTCTTCATTTGCTTCCTGCAGGCATTTAAAGTTATTACATTGTGTTTCCTTCTACTAATCTTTCACATTGATTAACTCTATATATTAGCTAGAACCTAATCATATCCTGATTTCAGAGATTACAATATTAGCCTTTTCCAAAAGCAATAAAAGTACTTTTTTTTTTTTAGGTAGAAATGATTTATCTATACTTTATAGATCCTTTTCATAATCTACATTTAAAAGGCATATCACATGCCTCATTTAATAATTATTTAAGCCCACAGATATTAGAGAAATCTTTTCTTAAATGCACTTTCACTCCTACTTCTACTGCATCTGGGGAAAGGGGAAATCTATCAATGAAAACTAAAAATCCACATAGAACAGTTTCAACATCAAAAATAAGGGTAGAGCTAGTAGTTTCTATGAAGATACTTTTCCTTTAATCAACATTGTTTTATGCAACAAGGCCAGTTTTTTGTTTTGTTTTGTTTTGTTTTGTTTTTACCTTTCTTAGGATACTTTAAAGATAGTTTAAGCAACTGTTTGTTACAAGTAGTAGCACATTAATAGCTGAAGCCATGTCACTTGATGTCTACATCTCCCAGCTCTAACCCATACATAATGAACTCTGTGGAAGAACTAAAGTAAAAAATCTCAAATTATTACTTCAATTTTTATTCTCTTTTTATTTGGAAAGAGATGTGCGGTATCATAGTTTATTTTTTTTAAACAGAAACAAAGTATCTTAATTTTATTTAGAAAAATAAAGTAAGATGTCTCTTGCTAACTTAACCACATCAAACACTAACAATTGTAGGGAAAGAAAGATACATATACTTAATTCTCCCCCTTAGGGAGAAGCAACTAACCAATTAGATTCTTACTTAAATTTACAGAAATACATTTCCCACAAAATAGCATAATTGGTTTTGCAAAGCAATGCAAGACCATAAAAATGACTATGCAAGCCAAAACTATGCAAAGTATTCTTAAAAAATGGGAAAATTTACAATTGTTCTGTGACCTTTTAAAAATGTTTGTGAAAATATTAAAAGTTCTTAGTGGCGTATAGGGAAGAGAAAAACAAAACTAATTTAGTACACTGTAATTTAACTCATCACAAACATTGAGAATGGAAGTTTTATTTCTCAGAAAAAAACAAACAAATCAAGAATAGTTTAAACATTTGCTCCCTCTCATCTGTAATTTGTAATACCAATCAAATATCTTTTCTATGCTTTGGCAAGTTGCCCAATCCCAGTGGTAGGCAAACTGTGGCTCGCAAGCCATATGCTCTTTGGCCCCTTGAATGTGGCTCTTCCACAAAATACCACAGCCTGGGTGAGTCTATTTTGAAAAAGTGGCATTAGAAGAAGTTTAAAAAATTTGTCTCTCAAAAGAAATTTAATTGTTTTTTGGCTCTGTTGACCAGAGTTTGCCATCCACTGCCCAATTCCATTTTTAACTTTACAACATTTTATACTTTGCCCTTTCAACATTGTGAAACATCTCTGAGAATTTCTTTAATGTAAAGGTTTTTCCACTTTATTTATATCAAGTGCACCTTTACCAAGTTCTTCTGGCTGCATAGCTGGAGTCCCTTGAACAGTGGCAATGTCAATTCCCACAGTCAGCTACTTTTTCTACAACCCCATTTATTCTTGATTCACAGATTATTTCCAGTGTTATCACTTTTTATTTATTTGCTGCACTTTCATCTCTGACAGCCAATTCTCTTTTGATTATCCATTTTTGAAAAATGTTACATGGATTTATCACTGGGAAACAATGAGGCAACACAAATACATTCTTTGTGCATAAAGTGAATTGTGCATAAAGTGAAACACATACCGTGTTTCCCCGAAAATAAGACATCCTCCGAAAATAAGACCTACTTACAGGTTTCCTTCTGAGTGAAATATAAGGCATCCCCGAAAATAAGCCCCTCCCACCCCCAGGCTCTGTCTCAGAATGCTATTGCTAAACATGAGAGATTTGGTCCAATGATTCTGAAAGAAATGGAGTCATAAGAAATTCACCAGGAAATTTAGGAATTGGATTGTTATGATGATGTTCCAGATGATGATGACATGATTGTCATTGAATAAATGAGTAAATTCTTGATACTGTAGGATTCACAGTTTGGTTTGTGTTGACAACTACCGTACTACCGTACCGTATACAGGTAATAAATTTCCTTTATTTTCATTTAACAATAAATGTGTACCGTATTCTTCTTCATGGAAAAATAAGACATCCCCTGAAAATAAGACCTAGCGCATCTTTGGAAGCAAAAATTATTATAAGACACTGTCTTATTTTCAGGGAAACAGGGTAGTAATCAATTGCTGATAAACTGAAATGTGATGTGACTGTCATAGATCATGACACATCTGCTATTCATGTGCTGATCTGTGGGTTCAGGAGCTAGCGGTAAAGTTAGTACTTTATGCAATTACTCACAGTTAATATACCTTGGCCATTGAACCATGTTGATTTCTCATACTTTGAACCACGTTGTTGGGGGACTAATGTCATTTTACTAAACTGTGGTAACTGAAATTTATGACCACTGACATTGTGCATAGCAAAGGATTCCTGTATAAGGATATACACCTAACTGTATACACCTTAAGAAAATGTAAAAAAAAAAAAAAAAAAAAGCATGCATATATAAAGAAAGAGTGAAACAATGCTACAAACCAGTGTGAGATGACTCATCGTCACTATCATCATCTTTTCTTCCTTTCTTCTTGGTTTTTTTAATTTTGTACTCTCTGGCATTGCTCCCACCTCCTCCTCTCACACTTCCACTGCCCTCTGGTGGAAATGACATTAGTTAGTATTCCCTAATAACTTAATTACCATTTTAAGAAAATAATGACACTATGTTATCATACTTTACAGCAGAAAAAGTCAAATAATTAAACTTTTAGTCACTTTTTAATGCCCAAATGTCTTTATTAAAACAAAAGTTTTATAAATTCAATAAATAAAAATGTAAAATTTCTTGAATTTGAGCAATTCAGATATTAGTCCCCATGCTCTAAATGTAGTCTCTTCCTTCTTTTAATGACATTTTCCTGTAGCCTTTCCTTTGCCAAACCCATTCATTTACCTCCATTCTTATCATGCCCAAAAGAAATGGGCCCTCATTTTGACCCTCTGTTACCACAGTCTCATGAATATTCCCCTTTTATAGTACTTCACAAATTTCATTATACTTGGTTTTGTCTTCTTAGTTGAAAAATCATTATCCATATTTACAGGAGACATTCTGATTCTTCCACAATCCAACAAGATAAACTTCTCACTAATATTTGTATCTTGGGGTTAAAGCAATATTTCACATATAACTACTCAATAAAACAGCAGTTGGAAAATGTAGGTTTGCAATTGTGAGTATACAAACTGCAGAGTGTACTCTTATATTATTACTACTGGCCCAGAGCATGAAATTCGTGCACTGGAAGGGAGGGGCAGGGGGAGGGGGTCCCTCAGCCCGGACTGCACGCTCTTGCAATCTAGGAGTCACCAGTCAGACATCCTTAGCACTGACACAGAGGCGGAGAGGCTCCCACCACTGCTGCTGTGTTAGCCACCCATGATCCTGGCTTCTGGCTAAGCGGTGCGCCTGCATTGAGCATCTTCCGCCTGGTGGTCAGTTCAGTAGATTTGCATATTATCCTTTTATTATATAGGATTTATTGTTGTATTATTTATGCGTAGTATATATATAAACCTTCTTTTGCCCACTCTTGTATTTATAGAGCACCTAAAAATATGGACCATAAATATTAAATTGATTTAGTAGAAAAATATAAATTCCAATCATCTACTAGTTAAATAAAGACAAAAAACACAAATTATGAAACAAACTAAAACACTGTAAATAAGAGTAAAAAATGTTATTGAGGTGTTTATTAGATATTTACACTTAAAATATGTATTCAACAAAATGTAATACTTATATAATAGTGGGAATGAAACATTGAAAACTACTGAAAATATATTTCTTCATAAAAATTCATTTTTCAATAAAATTAAATAATTTATATAAAGATGTTTTTAATTCTAAGTAAAATTACCTTAAATTTCATCATATCAGATACTTGTAAGTTGTAATTTGTTTTTCCTTACTTTTATGATAGAAAAATACAATTTTTTAAAAAGCACCAATCTAAAGTGAATGTACTTTTTATTGCATTGGTAATAAGTTGTTTTATGGGAAGACATTCATATCTGGTATTATTCTATGCACTGTAATTCAACTATTACAATACAATAATACTACCAGAGAGAAAACATCAAAAGACTGTTTTTAGGAGAAAAATAGACTACTTATATTGACATAGTGCAACCAATAATATCCATGGCTGTGAATACTACTATGATTTATTGGAGTAATTTACTATATATATAGTTTTCCTAGAAGAATAGAGAAAAATTTCAAAATATCATTTTTGAAAATTTGAGAAAAAAGGCTTTTGAAGAGGAAAGAAAACAACCTCAAAGAAATATGAGTGAATTTCCACATCAAATAAAAGTTGTAGAAAATACTGCTAGTTTCTGAAAGCAAGTCACTAGTATAGCGGTGCTACCTATTATAATTTCCAGTGACTTTAAATTAAAAAAGAAAAATCTAAAAAAGTAATATCTCCTTGGAAAATACATTCATTCAATAAGTATTTACAGACCACCTAAAATATGTCAAGGAGGGCTCTAAGTATTAGGGATAAAAGACAAAAAAAATGAGATGGATAAGTTTTCTAAACAATGATAAAAGTGAAGGGGAAAAATGGCAAGATAATATGATGGAGAGTGACTGTGTCCACTATTTGGGTAATTAGGGAGGCCTCTCTCAGGAACTGACATTTAAGGTTGATCTCTAAATGAAAAAAAGGAACCTGTTACTGAAAATTCAGGAAAGAACATTCCAGACAGAAAGAATAACTAGTACAAAGACCTTGAGGCAAGCATGAACTTGCCAACTCAGAATAAATAGAAAGGCTACTGGGCTGGAACATAAAAGACGAGGGGAGAACAGGAGATGGGCCAAGCATAAAATAACTTAGCTCTCACAAATAAAACACAGAATAAATCATCTCCAATATTTCCATTTTTATAATCAATATTTAATTCATTAGCAGAAAACTTGGTTAGAAGGTGAATTGAACAAATAAAAGGCATTTCAATGTTCCCAGCAAATGCAGAGTTCACTGCAACAAATAAAAATCTCATCTTTGAATCTTCTGTTAATAATTTATTACCTGTTGCTTTCCTTCTTCGTTCATCTTTTTTATCCTTCTTACTTGTATTACTACTTTCTAAAATGGAGACTTGTTTCAGATCTTCTTCAGTGATTAAATGAACTGGGTTATTTTTCATTTCCTAAAATAAAACATGCTTTTTTTGGTAGGCAAAAATATACAGTATAGCATTACATAAAGCACAAAACAAAAGTTGTTTATATACTCATAATTATTCTTGTCTGGTTTCATTTCTGCGGACTACAGAGATCTGTTTGACAGTTGCCACTAAGACTGTTTCTCTTAGTCAAAAAATCAGTCTCTTTCTTTGCTATTCTTGGATTTTTCTATCTATTACCAGCTAATGAGAAATTCTATCTGGTCTCTGAACAAGTGATCATACAGCATCAAATACAATCTTCTTTAGCTGTTATTGACTCTTATTCCCTTTCTTTTTGAGACTCCCAAGTTCAATCCCATACTTGGAGACCTAGGATTACTAGAAAGATTTAAAAAATCTCCCCCTATCCTCCTCTACCATAATGAATGAGCATATATAAATGAATTGCACACTTATCATATAAACTCCTCCTGGACTCATTCTTGATTTCTGCTTTTAAAATTTTTATGTTAAGAACAATTAACTATTCCAATGAACTGATTCTTTATTATGGAAAAGAATTGTAAATCTGTAGTGACAAAAGTCCATTTTCATGTTAAAAATATTTCCCTTTTGGTTTTCCAAGAAAAATTTCTAAATGCTAACAGTTCAAATGATAGAATCACCATTTTTTCTGAATTTGTGTTTAGAGGCAGAACACAAAGAAAACAGTGATGACCACATTAAGTTTTTATTTTAGCAAAAGTTCACAAATAAAAAAAAAAATAATATAAGCATTTAGTAACTGCTAACACATAGCAAACATTTTATATAGCATCATTCCTTTATTTACATTTACATTTATCTTTTTTTTTTAATTCTCTCCCAAGGATATGTTTTTATTGATTTGAGAGAGAAACATTGATGTGAGAGAAACATTGATTAGTTTCCTCTTGTATATGTTCTAACTGGGGACTGAACTCCTAACCGTGGTATGCACCCTGACTGGGAATTGAACTCACAATTTTCTGATGCATGGGATACTCCAAATAATTCAGCCACCCATCCATTTATCCTTTTGAGAGTAGGTTACACCTCTCTAATGCTTAGCAGGCCGATTGTAGAAAATTATCTCATTTTTTTAGATTATTAAAGAGTTTAAAAGGAATATAGATAAATACAAATTATTTAAATATTTAATAAGCTCTCATAAATTAACAGTCTAAGATAAATGGACTTGTTCTACCTATTTGTGAGTAGGTTTTATAGGTAGATGGTGCTGCTAACTAGAAACATAAATTGAATATCCTTAAAACAGCCTTGGCATGATCTCTACTTCTAAACAGTTTGACAGCAATTGCTCTGAGGAACTAATCAATTTTAATAATAGCAAACACTTTCTTTCCTCAGTTAACTTATCCAGTTTGTGCACCCAAATAGGTAAAATTAATGAGGCTCTAACAGATTTAGTAAATATACTGTGTAGTAATAGATAAAAACCACGATATATTTATGGATTCTAATGTTGGACCAATACCCTCATAAAACTTAATTGTGAAGTGTATAATTTCATTTATATGATTTTAATTCATATAATCAGCTACCTAAATTCTAATTTCTATGTGCTAATGGGAATAAAGAAGGAGAAAAACAAATCCAGGAGAGAAAATAAAAAGAATTATGCAATAAGAGAAAATCATATATAATAAAAAAGGGATATGCTAATTGACCTTCATGCTGTCAAAAAGATGGTGGCCCTCAGCCAATAAGGAGGGAATATGCTAATTGACTGCCCCTCCCTCAAAGATGGTGGCACCCACAGCCAATAAGGGGGGAATACTAATTGACTGTCATGCCCTCAAAGATGGTGGTGCCCACAGCCACAAGATAGCAGTACCCAGTCCCCTCAGCCCCACCAGGGTGCCTGCTTCTGGAGTCCCCCTGTACCCTAAACCCCCGCAACCACCCAGGCCCAGCCCTAGGCACGGGCAAGCCTTGGATGGCAGCTGCCCAGCCGCCCGAGTCTCAGGTAACCAGGGCTAGCCAAGGCTTGTGCTGCTGGCAGTGGCAGCAGCAGAGGTGTGATGAGGGCGTCGCCTTCCCAATGCCAGGTTGCCTTCCGCCCCTGAGGGCTCCCTGATTGTGAGAAGGGGCAGGCCGGGCTGAGGGACATCCTTTCCTCCCTCTCTCCCCTTCCCTCCCCAATGAATTTTCATGCACTGGGATTCTAGTAATGTATAAAACAGTGTTCACTTTTTAAAAAGATAACCAGATGATTCTAATATGAAATACTATTAATACTAGGTAAAAGGAAACCTGGCATACCTTTTCAGCTTTTTGGTGCATCAGTTCACTGAAGAGTTCTATACAGTCATTTATAAATTTTTCACTGACTGCAACAGTGTCACTAAAGACTACAGCTGAAGGCTGTTTGCTGAATCTTCTCATCACTTGTTGAAGCAACATTGCAGCATCTTCAACTGATAAAGAACTGGGTAGCAGAGGCTGGAATTACAAAACAAAATGAACAATGTATAAATGTAATATAATCCAGATAAACCATTTGTTTTATATGTGCTCTCTCTAGATCTCATTAAGTGCAATGGCTTTGGAACCATCTATATGCTGATAACCTCCCAAGTTACATTTCTGCTTTCAACATCCCTCTGAGTTCTGGAATTGTATATCCTACCGCTTCCCTAACCTTCCCATTTCTATGCCTAAAAGGAATTGCAAATTTCACATGTCCAAAACATTGATTTGCAGCACCAGTTCCAGACTCCCAGCTCCATCTACCCCTCCCCACTGCTTCCCCAAATTAATAAATGGCACCATTCTCCACTCAGTTGATCAGGTCCCAAACCTACAAGTCACACTCAGTTCCTCTTATAAACCTACAAACAATCCTCTAATAAGTCTTGATAACTTTACCTCCAAAATATATTTCTTTTTAGCTCTTTTTAATATCTGAAAATATCATTTTCATTAACTATTTGCCCCCAATGAAAGTACCCCTACCTGAGAGCAGGAAACTTATCCGAATACCACATTCCTGGCAAGTAATATGGTGCCTGGCACACAGAAGGCATTTAATAAAATTTGTTCACTAAACAAATACTTATATCTAGAATCTCTGGGAGCTGATGTATCTAAAACAAGTAATTTTTTAGATACATGGAAAATTTATTCTTTACACCCACACTCACTTTCTTGGCATAATAAGGGCAAGTCAATATTGAAAACTTAAGTAAAAGACTATCAGTGCTAAAGCAGCTTATGTTAACATATTAGCAGAGATTAACGGATAAGTGATAAACGAAAGCAACCTGATTCCTGATGCCAGTGAAGTTGTAAATGCTCAGATAAGTCTTATTAGTTTCTGTATGGCAGGACTTATAAGAGGATTATATTGTTTGAGATTTACAGAATTCTGGATGTTAACTATCCATATAAAAAAGTTACTTTACTACAAAAGCTAGAAAATCTTTAAGCGTAAAATAATTAAGATTGTTTTTATTGAAACAATGACTGTTATAATTTGACTCTAAAGCCAAGATCTTTATGCATCCTAATTCTTAAAATGGCCATATACTTGTGAAATATCAGTATCATTGGTTTAAAGAAAAATTAAGAAAATACATACTGCAATATCAACCCAAGTTCCAGAGCTGATGGCTTCCTCTACCGATGCTTCCACCTGATCCACAAGTCCTTGACCAACACAAGCTGCTTTCAAAAATAAGAGTTGTGTAGTCTTGTATCTTTTCCTTATGTAGCTCACAGCATCTGGAATTCCCAGTCTGGACAAAGCATCGAATTCTAGAAATACAACCCAAAGTTGGAAAAGAACTATCAATCTTCACACTTCTCAGAAATCTTAGAAAAAATTAACTTCTACCAAACCCTATTCTTTATGAATGCACTGTATTCTTATATCTTTTTCTGTAAAGACTAAAGCACAAATATGTACCACAGCGTATTCCCTGCTTATGTCACTTTCCCAAATTTTTACTACTAAACATATTTGTAGAAAAATGAGTTCAAGTATTTCCCCAATTCCAGCTGTTTTACTCTCTCTTTAACTGAGGGGGTCAAAGGGAAACATGAGAACTATAGAGAAATTAAAGTAGAAAGGGAGAATAAAGGAAAATGTAATGATTTAAGTATAGTAAGAGATTTCTTTTGCTTATTATAGTTAAATAAAGGAGTGGAATATATTTTTCAAATGTTTCATTAGACAAATTAGGGCAGTAATTCTCCAGTCTAATTTAAACTAGTATGGGAGCATATAAAACAAAAATAAAAAATGAAGACTTAAACCATTAAGGTTAGTGAAAGTATCTACTATCCTTTCTCCATCCTCAAGTAATGATGTTTAAGAAAACTAATTATAACAACATTCTAATCAAATTCCATGGTTGAAGAAACTGGGAAGTATATTACAGAAAGTCAAGAAAACATAAGCTAACCCCTATTTCTAGAATGCATTTAAAGTGTTTGAAAACTAATGACTTACATACAAGTTTATTACTGAGAATGAAACTGATCTCTTATGTGGTTTGACTTGGGTTATAAAATTAAAGTGAGATTTATATATTTTTGTTAATTGCTTTAATGACTAAATTCGATCAATTTACTTTATCAAAATGACATAACCTCAGAAACCAAATTTAGAGTAACATCTATGTTTCTGAAGTATTAAAAAACTAATAAAAATGAACATTATAAAGTTAACAGCCAATAAAAATATTTCTAATATTATCAGGTATAATAATCTGAAAAACTGGGCAACTTCATACAAAATAATAAATATAATTCCTTTTTATGTATTAAAAAATATCGAAGCTATAATAATATATCACTGGAAGGATGGTAATAAGAAGTGCCAGCTTTTGGTCTTTCTACAATAGTTCAATACTCAGTTTCTAAGACCCATAAAAAGCTGCAGTGTAGCTACTTTCACACACAAAGAGAACCGTTATAATTTGTTGGTCAGCAGTAAAGTATGTTTGTACACCCAAGACTAATACAAAAGTTATAAGAATGTGGACTGAGTAGGCACATTGGGCATTTCTTAATTATTGTCAGCTGAGTCCAGTGATGGCAGCAGAGCCTCATCCTAGAGACACATTTTGCCAAAAGGCAAGGGTGTTTTCAGATGGACCTTCAGCCCAGGTGCTGGAAAGTAGGTTTTATTATGTAAATCCAGCCAGATACCTGGAATGAGGATTTACAAAGAAGTGAGGATTTACCAAGAACGTGCATAATCTCTTTGTCTTGCCTTTGATAAAACTTTCTGGTATTTTGGGGTATAAAATAAACACTCTGTATTGGCTCTGGGTCCCTGTCTCTCCATCAGAGGACAGTGGTCCCACCTGGTCCCAGCTTTCCCTAGTGTACCTGTGTCTGTCTCTTCCTTTCATTTTCTCAATCCCCCATCACCCCTACTCAGGAACTGGATCGCCTTCTATCCATGCTGGACTTGGAAAAGGAATCCCTTTCTACAGTGGATAGTATTAGAAAGAAGTTTCAGTTTCAAAGAAAAAAAATGTTACCTAGATAGCCATTCTGCCTGAAAAAGGAATCCACCCAAGTACTCTGTGTTCTGGAATAAATGTCAGGTAGAAACACGGCCTTATCTTGTCTCCCACCAACCACAGTGCCTCGTAAGCGTCCACTATTGACAAGTTCTTCAAGGACAGCTTAAAACAAAACAAAACAAAATAAATAGAAATAAATGAGAGCAGGTATAAATCTCAATAAAACCCCAAAACTTCACTATTTTACAATTTAGTTATTCTTACCATTTAAAAACACAACTTAAAGTTTAAATTGACTAAATTATGTTTCAGACAAAATTTTCCTGACATTTATGAGACTACTCAGGTCATAAATTCAGAAAAATTTGCAAGTAGGTAAAGATCCACAACTTGTAAAAATTAGTCAATAACACTAAGTTTTTAGTTTGAGTGATTTTTTTTTGGTAAAAACATGCCATTATTTAATCTCATGATTTGCTTAAAAGGAAATGACTAAATACTTTGAGAACAGATGTTACCAAATTCAATTTTCTCGTATTTAGAAAAGTCAAGATACCTAGATCATATTATAAACAACAGTGTAAAATTAAGCTATAAACATTTTTATAAGTGTCCTGGCCAGTGTGGCTCAGTTGGTTGAGGTGTTGTCCTCTCCCTCAAGGGGTTGCTGGTTCGATTCCCAGGTGGGTATATCGGCTCCCTGGTGTGGAGTGTGCAGGAGACAAGCAATTTGTGTTTCACTATCACATCCATGTTTCTCCCCCGCATCCCCCTCCCCTCTCTCTCTCTCTTCTCTCTCTCTCTCTCTCCCCCTTCCTCTCTCTTAAAAAAAATTCTAAATTATTATATTTTTACTGTTTAAATTGAAGCAACACATTTTAACCCTATCTATAAAGAGAAGTATAATGCCATAGTTAAGAGGATGGATCCAGATGCAGACAGCTTAAGTCCAAATCTCAATTCTGACACCTACTAGCTGACAAAAACTGGGCAAGTCATTTTACTGTTTTCATTTTCTCATGTGTGAAATGGAGATAATAATAACATCTGTTTCATACAGTAGTTGTAGTCACATAAAATTCTTGGATCCATCACTAGTCCTATCTAATAAAGACAGGATATGCTAATTGACTGTCACACCCTCACAAAGATGGTGGTGCCCACAGCCAATAGGAGGGAATATGTACTTGACTGCCACGCCCTCAAAGATGGTGGTGCCCACAGCCACATGATGGTGGCATCCAGTCCCCTCAGGTCCACTGGGGTGGCAGGTGCGCGGCATGGCTGAGCCTGCCCTCAGGTGGGTCTGGCCACTCCATGCACCTGCCTTTGGAGTCCCCCATTTTCCTCAGCCCCCCAGATGCCCAGGGCTGGTCTGAGGTGCAGGCAAGCCTTGGATGTTAGCTGCCCAGTGACTCAGGATGGGCCTGAGGTGCAGGTAACAAGGGCCGGCTGAGGCTTGCGCTGCCAGCAGTGACAGCAGCAGAGGTGTAATGGGGGCGTCGCCTCCCACCTCTGAGGGCTCCTGGACTGTGAGGGGGCAGGATGGGGTGAGGGACCCCCCCCCCAGTGCATGTATTTTCATGCACTGGGCCTCTAGTATATTATAAGCACTCAATAAATGTTAACTGTATATGATTACCCCCACCTCCATCACTACAATCATCAACGTCAAAAGATTGATGCCAGTCTGAGAAGTGGGTAGTGCTATAACTAACACCAAATTTACAGTTTTTACTTAATAACATTAAATAGACTAAATATCAACATTCCCTAAAAAAAAAAAGCAGTTATGAAAGAATTATTTCTAAGTGAATCAACAAGCACATTCAAAAGATGCCCTGCACAAAGGTTTATGAAAATTAGCCTTTAACAGAAATAAACATCAGTTTACCTATGAATTCAGAATTTAAAACTGAATAAACTAGAATTCATCAGAAAAGTCTAGACTTCTCAATAGACTGTAGCATATAATTTTAAATGCTAAATTCAGACCAGTTATCTAACTGCCAAGAATTACTTCAAGAACTGTGTATTATAATGGAACCCCACCAATCCCCATTTACATAGACTCCAAAGTATGTAATTTTAACTTTAAATAAATATTTAAAAATTTAACTCCATATTCTGAAAAATATAGGGAATAAAAATTAAGTTTTGGTACTCTACTTGTTTTTCCATTCTTCAGTTTAATTCTTATATTTGCACAGATATCTGATGCAAAAGATCAAGCCATTGCTTTTTAAAATTATTCCAGCAGAGGTTTAAAAAAACTCTCAAACCCTCCAAAGCTTCATAAACACACACAAAATAGATAATGAACCACGATGATTTTGGAGATATTCCAAGTCTGTTTGAATGCTAAGAATGTATTTTTTACCACTATAAAATGTTTGTAAAACTTTTAGACAAACACTGTTTACTCCAATATTAGAAAATGTAGCAAAATCTGTAACAAACATAGTAAAAATTATTCTTAATACTACAATTTGAAATCTCTCTATATATGTATATGTATACCAGAGTGCCCCCCCCCACACACACACATATTTTTTTCCATCCCATTCTCTTGGTGGCAGCCAACAATAAATGTTTCATGGATGTAACAGACACATACATGAAAACTGTGGTACAAATAAATTTTCCAACCAGATATAGTATTTTAGTTATATAAGTTTTAAGATTAAAAGAGGTAAAATTATAATTAGTAAGTTTTATATTAACAGTCTATTCAGCAGCTAATTAACTGACGAAATTTATAAACAAAACTTACAGTAAAGAAGCTGCTCCTGAAATCCATATTTTGATATCAAAGAATTCACTGCTGTAGGCCTTTAGGGAAAGAAAGCAAACAAAAAAAGTCTTATTTGATATACATATTTATAAATTAAAAATAAGTAGGATAGTTTATGAAAAATATCAATTAATTTAAAATAATTGGGCAAAAACTGCATCAAGTTCTACACCCTTAATAAGAATTATACCACTGAAATAGCAAGGGAATGGATTTGCCTCCCCAATCCAGGATCAATTTACCTTCCCACCAAAATTCTTACCTCAGTTTTAGTGATACTTAACTATCTGCCCTGCCTGTATTGTGTTTGATGCAAACCATGATTAAAGAAATATTCAGACTTTATACATGCTTACCGGGTAATAGCACTGAACAGTCCACGGATGCGTGCTTTATGTCGAGCTACAAAAGCTTCAGTAAATATTACTCCTCTGTTATCAAGATCAATGTGTCCATTAATAATTCTACCTAGTCGCTGAGTTAGTGCCTGAGGATAAAAATGCAAATTTTTTATAAATTTGAGAGAAAAAAAATCACACAAACACGTTTTTATAGTCTTAAAGTCATGCTGCATGCTGACATTGTATAAATGATATAATTAAGAAATTCCAACAAGCATAAACAGGTATATAAGTCAAAGTCAAGATTTAGGCTTTAGGAAATATCATAAGAATTGAATGAGTCAAGTGGCTGATATGTTGAAAGGCTTAGTTACATGCTAATAAGGGCTATTTCTAAAATAATTAACCACTTTTTCTAGATATAGGCAAGGTGAAACATATACAGCCAAGACAAATACATGAGTCTTAGAAAAGACCCTCTCTGCAGCTTCTAAGACCTGAAAAGTTATCTTCTTTGACGCAAGTATTAACAACTTATCTGCGCCCAGAAATCTCCACTGGCAGGAACCCTGATTTCTTAGTACCCCCCTTCTCCCCCCGATAGTATTTTTCCACAGCTAACATATGACTGGAATCTGGAAATTAATCTGGATATATTTCACATCCCAAGATAAGTAACATCTACTCAAGTCAGCCTAGCCAATACTTTTATGTTATAGAAAAATATTTTTCAATCAACTTCTTAATGAGCTTTCATAATACTGTTTGAGATATTCAGAAAAATTAGAACTGAAAAACATTAAGATTCTTTGTTTATTTTTCTAAAGACACATTTTACTATTAAGAAAAAAATACCTGTGTGAGAAAGTTCCCAGGAAGATCATAGGTTTTACACAGTTCTGATATGGTTATCTGACCACTTTCTTGCAATTTATCATTTACCTCTTCTGCTAACCGATCCAGATAGTTTCTAAACAATAAAAACAAGCAAAAAAACAAACAAACAAACAAACAAAAAAAACAAGAAAAAACCCACAACAATTAGGAATGATGAAATGGTTTTCCTCTATCTTATATGTTTAATTTCTATTGCAATAATGTATGCACCAAATTAATAGAGCATGTTTAGGTAAACACTATTCATTACTCATATTTGGAAATTTTTTTTTCTTATCAATGTAGCTAAGTATAAAATTAATCAAATGATAAATAAATTTCCAAATTAAACAATGGAAATTCTGCAGTCATTTTTCATTAATATTTTTGGAACAAATTTGCTTTACATACAAGAAGATTGTAAAAATTATGTGTTGTGTTGCTTTAATAGAAAAAAAAAAAAAAAAGGTTTATCCTGAATCCAAGTACTTCACACTAGTAAGCACTTACTTTTTAAGTACAATGATCCTGACAGTGAAAATTAGCATTACATGAGTTCTAAACAAAATACTGAATTAGCCACAATTGTTCTAAATTTAAATATTAACACTATTAAAAACAGAATGCTCTTAAATATTGTACTTACTCATCTATCAGCTGACCCAACACTAGCTGAACATGCTTTTCTGATTTAACAATGTCACTAATTCTACTTTCAATATGAGTCAGATCCACATTAATTACCTAGAAAACATAAATTCTATTAGTGATAAGTTCATATTGTTTCTTAAATTCAAACTATCTTTTAAAAAATTTAGCCTTAATTAGATTTTAAATTTATTTGAAATATTGTAAAAGTCTTAGTAAAATAAAAAAGCAGAGGCTTATGGCTTATTTATTTTTATTTCTGAACAATTACACTTATACTTGCTAGGGAAGTCTGTGTTAAGAAGTTATATTTTCATATAATAGGCACCATTTCACACAAGGTTCACCAACTTTTTATATACAGTATACTTTGGTGATGATGTGTGCAATTACATTTTTAAAAAACATCTTCTACTTTTTTATATATGTCTATTACTTACACATACTAACAACAACTGAACATGAAACTGGTGAGTTTTTCTCCCCAAATTACATAAATCCTGTAATTATATAAAATGACAATTTTGAATTTATTTGGTAAAAATAAAGCATAAGTAAGTCAACTGAGAAAGAACTTATTAAATATCTGGACTTATTAAACTGATTCCATGTATTAGTGAGAAATATCATTAATTCTTCATAACATTATACTAAATCTAATACCTGTAACTAGTAAATACTTTAGACATTGAAAAAATTCACAGTATCAAAAAATGGACAAATCATAGGAAAAAAAATTTATGAATTAAAAATTTACCTGTTGCAGATCAACAATGTTTACCCGACCTTTAAAAAAAACAACATATTCATTTTTTCTTAATTATGTAGAAGTACACACTAGCCAGAAACTGTAAATTCTAACAGATTTACATTTTGGACAGAAGAAGTCCTCCTACAAAAGACATATGGCTGCAATAATAATAAACCATTAGCTGTGTAAGTCTTCATGCTTATAATTTATTTTCAATGTATCATTTGTCACATGAGGCCAATTATGAGCATCAACTGATACACAAGTTGACCAGACCTAAGGAGGCTATTTATCTCTCTTCACAATTACCTACTATGACCAAAGAGATATTGACAATTAAATTTAGATGAACTTTTTTCAATTATTTAAAATTGGTAGACTCCCACCCATTAGAAAAAGAAAATCTGTTAAGTACCTATAATAATAAAAGAGTAATATGCTAATTTTCTGGATGTCCTTCCTGACCAAGCTGGGGCCACGGGGAAGACAGCCTGGGTCCCCGGTTCCTATAGGTGGCTGGAGGAGGGAAACAGCCTGGGTCCCAGGTGCCTGCCGGGTAAAGGAAGGTCTAATCTTGCACGAATTTTCGTGCATTGGGCCTCTAGTTCTAAATAATAGCTAATACTTTATGAGTACCGTGTAAGAAAATAAAGAAAACAAACAAGGATGGTATATCTTATAATATCCAATGAAGAGTTGTTTTTAGCTTTTTTCTATTTTAATCCGCATTCAAATTAGCTCTGTAGTTTGTTCAAATTTTTAAAAGACAAAGGAAAACAAAAACTTTCTGTGTGTGCTTGTAAAAGCATTTCCTACAATACAATATGTGTGCATCATATTGAATTGTTTCCTAATTTGCAACTACTTAAAGGTAAGTTTTAATAAAAAGGCATGTAGCACAGCTTTGGTTTTCAACTATCTATAATCCTTTAAAATCTGTTTCCCCCTGATAATTACCACTCTACTAGGCAGCTAAGTACCCTCCCCTAAGTCATGAAATAAATTCAGGAACTGTGAAAAGAAACAACTGATTAAGTCACATACAAATAACTCAAAATATTGTTATTTTGTAAAATGACAATATCTGACTTATTTAAATTATATGTTCATGTTTACCTGAATGAGTTAATATATTAAAGATGTTACCATATTGACTATTGAGATGGGTGTCTTAAAACTTCGGAATAATGTATTATTCATGGTTTTAAGGTGTGTGTGTGTGTGTGTGTGTGTGTGTGTGTGTGTGTGTGTGTGTGTTTCTTCTCTTCCAAAAAACCAAAAGGAAAAAAACACACCCCACCACTAAGAAATTACTTACCACCTCGGATATGTAGCTCATCTCTCATTTCTTTACTAATTTGGGCTGGAGTAACATATTCCTTCCCATCAAGTGTATGAACTACTTCTAGCTGTTTCTGAGCAATCAATTTAGTCACAATCTCAATGCAGTTCCGCTCTGACAACCTGAGGGAAACAAGAAGTTTTTAAAATTCACTTGTTACAGTTGATGTTCAGTAAAATTAAAATAATGTATGAATAGGGGCTTTTTAAAAGTAAAAAAACAAAACAAAAAACTAACCTTTGGGTAAAGAATCATTAGGCTCTATATTATAATATCTCTACCTTTTATTAGTATAATGATACTAATTCAATGAGTTAAAAAAACACCACCACTTTGGAGTACTTATTAATAATTGGTACAAAACACTCTATTATGGATTTCAAGTTTGCTCTCTCTTAGGCCAGCTTCTAATGCTCAAATCTGAAAAGTAAGATTAGGACACATAACTTAGGCAGAAAAAAGCCGTGGCACTTCCTACAATTAACTGGTCTGCAGGCAGATCTGGCTTAGGGAAACCAGAACTGCAACCCTTTGCTACCCAAGCACTGAAGCACACAGTAGGTGCACTTATTTGCTTTATGCTCCAAAACACAGCATCAAGGGATTTTGTTCCCCAGAAGGAACAAAAATATCAATGGCAAGAAGCAGACAATGGATAAACAAGGATTCTATGAGCATTATATGTATTCTATTAAACAAGCAGAGTTAGGGAGCTCTGGACATATCCCCCCAAGTTAGGGGCTTGGTAGGAAATGCCAGTATCCAGGAGTCCCTCAAAATGACAGATGGGACCGTGGGTCTGGCCTTGCTGCACGTCCGGTCTGGTGGTCAGAAAAGCAACACGTTAAAGACTCAACACAGTATTTTGTAAAGTACTGTGCGAGGGGGTTCCCTCGCCTCTCACGCCCCTTCTGGGCGGGGAGCTGCACCAAAGGCCGTGATGACAGGGGCCGGCGGCGGGGAGGGTGGACGGGCGCGAAGCAAGCCCCCGCCAGCAGCCAGGCCCTCGGGAAGGGGCGCGCTCGCACTAGGCCGGGGTTTGTATAGGGGAGCCCGGGGCCACAGGTTTGGGGTTTTCGGGCCAAGAACTACACTCGGAGCCACCATCCCGGTCGGAGGAGTGGGGGTGAGACAGGGATGGCGACGGAGCCTGGGGAAGCCCGGGGGCCAGTGGCCTCGGGATCTTGGGGGTGGCCGCCCAGGGGCTATTTTGGACGCCCCCCAAAGGAGAGGGAGGGTCGGGCACCTCTGCGTGGCCTCGGCGAACTGCGCCCGCTGGAAGTCGGCCGCCAACCGCCTGATCTCCTCCCAGGCATCCGCCATCACGGCCCCACTGGTGGAGCCGCCGGGGAACAGCAGACACGTCAGCCCACGGCGGGCGGCGGGAGCCGGGCGGAACGGGCCGCGCGGAGGGACAAGAAACTCCGCCGCCCAAGCAATTAGCGAACGCGCGCGCCGGCGGGGGCGGGACTGGCCGAGAGCCGCGGCCCCGCCCACCCGCGCGGGGGCGTGTCCGCCCGGGGCGCCGGGCCAGGGGTTCAGTGCGTTGCAGAAGCGGGATGGAGGAGGGACCAACAGAGTTAGGTGTTACTTCCGTCTGGGTTTGTTTTATCCCTAATATTCCCGCACAGAGATAATCAAATTAACCCCTTTTCTTTTTCTTCTGCCCGGGCCGTATTAGCATCTTCTCTACAGGGAGTCGTATTTAATTTTCACATGGGCTCAGATTATATATATATCCTGTTTCACCGAAAATAAGACAGTGTCTTATATTAATTTTTGCTCCCAAAAGTGCGCTAGGTCTTATTTTCAGGGGATGTCTTATTTTTCCATGAAGAAGAATACGGTACACATTTATTGTTAAATAAAAATAAATGAAAATTATTACCTGTATACAGTACGGTAGTACGGTAGTTGTCAACACAAACCAGACAAACTGTGAATCCTACAGTATCAAGAATTTACTCATTTTTTCGATGACAATCATGTCATCATCTTCTGGAACAACATCATAACAATCCAATTCCTGAATTTCCTGGTAAATTTCTTTCAGAATCAGTGGACCAAAACTCTTATGTTTAGCCTAGGGGAGGGCCTTATTTTCGGGGGGATGCCTTATATTTCACTCAGAAGAAAACCTGTAAGTAGGTCTTATTTTCGGAGGATGTCTTATTTTCGGGGAAACACGGTATATATATATGTAGGAGACACTACTGGACATAATTTGTTTGCACAAGGATGAATAATTCGAATACCATAAAGGCTGGGAATTACTTCCATGCATTCTAATTCTAGAGCCTTTCCTATTTCTCCAGTGGAGTTGATTAGTCCCATCAAATAATGAAGAAATATAAACATAAGGTAATAAATGTATGTGGCCCTACATTGCATTGGGGCCACATACATTTATTACCTTATCCACATACATTTATTACCTCTACCCACTGAGCCAAACCAGTGGATAGAGGTAATGGCTCAGTGGATAGAGCCTCAGCTTGCACTCTGAAGGGACCCAGGTTGGATTAGGGTCAAGGGCATATGTCCCGGTTGTGGGCTCATCCCCAGTAGGAGGCGTGCAGGAGGCAGCTGATAAATTATTCTCACTCATTATTGATGTTCTATCTCTCTTTACCTCTCCCTTCCTCTCTGATACATATAAAATATATTAAACATTTCTGAGAATTTAAAAATAATAAGTGTATATGGCTATGGATGAAATGCAGGCAACAAGGGGGCATGTTTTATGTGCTTTACTTTACTCTGAAATCAATAGATACTTAATCAGCAGTACCTTTCTCATTTTCTTTTACTTTTAGACCTGATTCTTCACTGGAAAAAAAAATCCTTTTAACCTTAGCCCTATAATGTTCATGAAGAGGGTTATTTCAGGTCTTTTTCAATTTAAATATTTTATTCTGGATGACTGTAATCCAATACCACAAATGCACTTTCCAGGTATAGTTCCCAACTTTATTTAAAATGCAAAGAACATAGTCATAAAACCTGTAACTAAGGACTGCCACAGGCAATGTGATTGGCAGCCAGGAGGGGGAACATCAGAAATCAAGTCACATAGATGATTTGGTTGAAGGCAGGTGGTGTGGTTCCACAGGGTATCCTTAGGTATATTTTAAATTCAAAGGTTAATATTCTAACATCTATAATGTGGATTGATGGTTTCACTGATATAAGATGTGTGATCCTGTAAAGTTTCTCCAAGATAAACCTTTCTTTTAATAAAATTTGAAGCATTTTCTCTTGTTTACAAGGAAAATTAAACAATAAAATTTGAAGTATTTTTTTTTTCAACTCAACTGGGAATTTAAAACTAAACGACTGTAAAATAGGTATTATCCAACAAGTCAGTATAGTAGTCCTCCTTACCTGCATTTTGCTTTCTGTGGTTTTGGTTACAGCGGTCATCTGCAGAATGAAAATATTAAATGGGAAATTCCAGAAAGAAACAATTTATAAGTTTTATTTTATTTTATTTTTTTAAATATATTTTATTGATTTTATACAGAGAGGAAGGGAGAGAGATAGTCAGAAACATCGATGAGAGAGAGTCATCGATCAACTGCCTCTTGCACACCCCCTACTGGGGATATGCCCGCAACCAGGGTACATGCCCTTGACCGGAATCGAACCCGGGACCTTTCAGTCCCCAAGCCGACGCTCTGTCCATTGAGCCAAACCAGTCCCGGCACAATTTATAAGTTTTAAATTTGGGGTTGTTAAAAGGAAGTAGCGTGATGAAATCTTGCATTTTCCCACCATCTTGAGATGGAGCTGGCATCACTTAAGGTCACATGATGGACGGTTGGGCTATCATAGTGTTTCTTTTCAGGTAACCTTACTTTTCTTAAAATGGCCCCAGAGCACAAGAGTAGTTGTGCTGCAGTTCAGATATGTCAAAGAGAAGCCATAAATTCTTTCTTCAAGTGAAAAGAACTTTCTCAACTTGATGTGGCAAAAAAAATTTATGCTGAGGTTGCTAAGATCTAAGGTAAGAAAGAATCCTTTATCCGTGAAATTGTAAAAAAGGAAAAGTAAATTTAGTTTTGCTGTTTCACCTCAACCTGCAAAAATTATAGCCACAGTGCATGATAAGTACTTAGTTAAAATGGAAACGGCATTATATATGTGGGTGGAAAACATGAACAGAAAATGTGTCCTGATTGATGGCAATTTGTTGGACCAGAAAGCATTGAGCATATACAGAAGACTTCCACAAGGGATTTTCTGAAACGAGTGACACCAAACCATGTACTACAAGTAAGGAATGGTTACACAGATTCAGGAGTAGGTTTGGACTAAAAAAATATAAAAATTACTGAAGAACTGCATCTGCTAATGGAGAAGCCGTCACATTTCTAGGAGAGTTGAAGTTGATCAAGGAGAAAAGATACCATTCAAAGTAAGTCTTCAGTTACAAGGAAACCAGGCTCTTCTGGAAGAAGATGCCCAATAGAACCTACATTCATAAGTGCAAAGGAGGCACCAGGGCATAAAACATGGAAGGACAGATGAATTCTGGCACTATGTGGCAATGCTGTAGGGCACATGATAAAGCCAAGTGCAGTACACAGAATGAAGAGACCATGTCCTCTCAAAAATAAAGACAAAATTATTTGCCTGTGCTCTGGCAACATAGTAAGAAAATATGGATGACAGCCATCTTATTATATTTATGGAATGGTTCCACCAACAGACCACAAGGAGAACGGTGAGTACAGTATATAAGATAATTTCAGAAAGAGATCACATTCATAACTTTTATTACAGTATGTTATTATTGGTCTATGTTATCATTTGTTATTGTTGTTAATTCTTACTGTGCATTGTTTATAAATTAAACTTTGTCATAGGTATGCATGTATAGGAAAAAACATAGTATATGTAAGGTCAGGTACTATCCATGGTTTCAAGCGTCAACTGGTAGTATTGGAAGGTATATACCACAGATTAGTGGGGAAACTCTTTACTATTTGCAATTGTCTTTACTATTTGTCATTGTAAAGAAATTACAAATCAGAGACCATGTAAATTATATTGCTCATGTTATTGTGGTAAGAGATTTAACAGTACCTTAATCCCACCTCAAAAAATGGCAGTAAATCCTATACATAGAAAACATCAATTCCTTAAGAAATCACTATTATTCATGGGTGGGAGAAGAGGAAAAAAAAAAAAGAACACTAAAGAAATAAAAAAAAAATAAAAGTAAGGGATGCAAGAAGGTATAGAGGATAGAATAATTAACAATACTTCAACAATCAAAGAGAATGAAAATAAATGTAAGCCCATTAGCTATTTGAGCAAAGATGTGATTTTAAGAAGTGATCTCTCCTCTATCTTTGCAAAGGAAGTCAGATTGTAAGACTACCTCCTGAATAAGTAAGAATAATGATAGATGGTACAAAGAGAGACCTGACAAGGTATTAAATAAAAGGAAGGTAGTCAGTGAAAAGGGAGATTATGATAATGTTGAAGAGGTAGGCAGCAAATCACACAGAACATCAACTCAGGAAAGCCTCTTCAGATCATTCATGGTAATATCCATCCGCAGCAATAATTTTTCTGCAGGGTCCTGGTAGACTATACGTTTTGCTTGAACACTTAAAATGATGAAGTGTTCCCTTCCTTGGTAGATTAATTTGTTTTTGGACAGATCTGTTAGAAATTCCTTCTTTATACTAAAGCAAGATCTGGTTCCCTGTGGCTTTCATATTCTTTCCTTGGGTGATCCACAGAATGACTCTAATATATCTTTCTCATGACAACTCTCCAAATATTCAAAGCATATCTCTCCTGTTTTCCTTTTCCACATTAAACATCTCAGATCCTTCAATTATATCTTCTGACAAGATTTCTGGACCTCTAAAGAGCCTGGCTATCCTCTGACATTGAACTCTAGTTTGCAAGGTCAGCCTTAGAAAGTGATGCCCAGAAGGAATTTAGTATTTTACACTTAGTCTGACTAGAGCAGATGACAGTGAGATTAATTTCCCTAGGTATTATACTTCTGTTAATTGGACTCTTGGCTTAAATTGAGCTGGTAATGAACTGCATCTGACTGGTATTTATCTAAATTGCTATCAAACCCGGTTTAGTCTATTCTGTACCTGAACAAATTAATTTTATTTGATAAATTTCACCTTGTTAGTTTGACCCATTTATTTATTTATTTATTCATTATTCTTTCAGCAAAAAGTGTTTGAGGTCTACTATATGCCAGCCTTGGTGATATGCCCTGAGAATATCAAGAAGTACAAAATGTCCTAACCAGTTGAGATTATTTTAATAATTAAATGCATCATTCA